ACACTCTTCGCTAAGTGCAACAGTTTCATTATCCGTGAACTTCCTTTTCTTGTTCAGAATATCTTTCATAAATTTTACATAATTGGGCATTTGCTCTAAAGCTTCTACGAAGGGAATATTTACTGTTAACTGCTTAAGAATTTCTAAAAATTTAAAAAATTATTTATTCTATTTGTGTTGCTTCAATCTTTGAGGAAACGTTGGTGGAGGTTTCTCCACAGTAATTTTCATTGGTGTAAAAGAATACTCTAAAAGTTTCAGTTTCTTTCTGTACCCTTGTTTCTAATTCTTTTCCACTTCGTAATTGTATCGCTTTGATTTGTTTTTTTCCTTGATCTTTAGGATTTGGTTCCACAGTACACGAAAAAGTTTCTATTGTTCGGTTACTAAGCACAATAGTGATATGCCGTAATTGATTTTTAATATTCTTAATAGCAGTTCCTTGATTTTGTAATTGATTTCCATGAATTTTTAATTGATTTCCTTGATACTGTAATTATTTACCCATGTTTAATATCAGCTCCTCCATAGATAACCTCTTTTCCTTAATTAGAGTGTTACTGTTAAATCCTGGAGGATAAGAAGGTCTATAGTTAACATTTCCTTGGTTGGATGAATTTCCTAATGAGTTCACTTGGTTGTTGGCCCATTGTTGATTTGTAGAAGAATTTTTATTCCAATTAAAATTTGGACGATTCTTCCAACCTGGGTTATAATAGTTCGAATAAAGGTTGTTGGGTCTATTAATAGCATTTAAAGTCTGATATGAAGGTTGAACATCAACAAACTGCCCAGATGAATTCTCTTCCATCCTAGGAGGTGTTCCAGAATAATTCATTCCATAATGATCTAATTTCTTTCATATTGCAATAATATGTGAAGCTAACATAGATATTGCATCAGAATCATGGATACTAGCTACTCTTTTAGGATTTACGCTTTCAGAGGACCATTGAAAATTATCGGTAGCCATCACTTCTTTAACAAATAAGCCTCATCAAAAAGTTTTAACATTAACGAACCACCAGTCAGAGCATCTATAATCGATCTAAGAGATCCCACTAATCCATTATAAAAGGTTTGAATTATCAACCAATTTGGTAATGTATGATGAGGGCATTTCCTAAGAAGATCTTTAAATCTCTCCTAAGCTTCGTATATTGACTCTCCATCAATCTAATAGAACGATGTTATATCATTTCTAAGTTTAGCAGTTTTGGATAGAAATTTCTGTGATAGTTCTCCCCAAGTTCTATTAGATCCTGGTGCTAACAAAGCTACAAAAATTAACCACATCTTAGCTTTATCCCTCAGTGAAAAAGGAAAAGGTCTAAGTCTAACAACATCGTTTGATACTTTGTCATATTTAAAAGTAGCACACATTTCTAAAAAACTAGCGAGGTGTAAGTTTGGATCTTCATTTGGTGTACCTCCGAATTGATTGTTTTGTACCATTTGGATAATAGCAGGTTTAAGCTCAAATGAATTAGCAGCTACATCAGGATTTTGG